ACCATCTTTAGAGGTCCTAGCACGCCATTTCTCGACCCGCTCTTTCGTTTGAGCCCAAAAAAACATTCATATCTTGTCTGACATCTTTGCTACAAACTCGGGCTTTCGACTCGGGTTTTCAATTGAAGACTTATAAGAAAAAATCTTATAAGAAAGAATACTTTAGTTTTTAGGGATCTATTCCTCATTTGCGTTAATTCACGCAAAATAACTATATTTTTACTGCAGAATAAACCGGAAGGTTTAAATGTTTGCGATTAAAAAAACGTACAATCAGGAATTGGAACCGAAGAGAAGAAAAATAAATCTCGGGAGAAATCGTTCTAAATATTATTTTTGAGGTACAGACCATTTTTTTTTCGTTTAAATTGAATTTTCTGTAAGAAAATCACTTGATGAAAAAAATTCAAAGCCACGTGATGACCGAACGATTAACAATCAAAATTTTTCCTTCACTTGTTCCGCAAAATAAATTGTTTTCTGTCGAAATGACGACTTCATGTTTAACCAAAATCCCCCGATCACTCCGAATAATTACCAATGACCTTATCGTAATCCAAATAATCAATTAGCGTTACCAATTCATAATGATGACTATTTCCAGTTGTTTTTACCTTCCACTGTCCCCCAGAATGTCATCACGATCTATCGGGTGCCCTTGAATTCCCAAAACCTCACTCCCTCGCCGGTTATCCGATAGTGATTAAATATTTATTTGGGACAAGTGCCTTCAATTAATGATAAAAGGACTTTGGAAAGTTCGCCACGCCAACTAATGCCCGTGGTAAGTTATACATTAGCTCATGCGTTACAAAAACTTCACGTATACTCAATTACATACATTTGAGTTTAACGAGAAAATAAGAGCGATCCATCATAAACACTGGGGTGTACGCGACGCACAAATTAAGGGAGTAGAAGGATGAGGCGGACGAAACGTTTTAAACTTTTATTGATTTTTCATGATACAACTTCTTAATGCAGTGAGTAAAAAATTAAGTAAAAAATTGATCACTCAATTTACGATCGATGGCAGATGATTAAACTGGGAGATCAAATGGGGCCTCACAGACAACTTTGTGCAGCGAAATTGAGTGTTAATTGTCGCCCAAGACCTGCGCGATTGACTGGAATCATGGTAACTCTTGGTAAATTAATGCAGATTATTTCTTTCGATAGAATTCGATAGAAAATTCCATTGGATTTCAGGGGGCTCTCACTTTCCTGTTCTTCTCTTCTCAGAAATAAAATCGATCAAAAAAATGGGGAGAGCGAGAGATAAAATTTTTGTTATCAACTTTTTTTATTATTGGCAGTACTGACAAGAATAATAATTTTCTATTTGTCTTATAATTCAATTGATTAGATTAGGCTGAGTGAACTTCTCTTTTTTCATTCTAAAAATTAAAGCTCAGCATCACTTTTTCCTTTTCCCCCTTTGGATCTCCCCCCGGGCTTTGATCTGGACTTTGGATTTTGCTGCTTCACTTTCTTTTCAATGAATCCATTAGCACAATCTTCTCCCGTCAAAGCTTCTCAATAATTTTTCATTCCGCTGAATGGAACATTATTATTCTCATCAGTATTCCCAAGAATAATAAAAAGTTGGTAAAAAAAATTGAATAACAAAATTTTTTTTGCTTATATTGCGTCGATTTTATTTTTACGGGGCAAAATGGCATAGCTGAAAATGTTGCGCTAGGTTTAAAGCTCATTCAAGCTTTAGTCTATCACTTGATCACCCACATTTCAGTAATTCCATCGGAAATCAGTAAAAGGGAGGAAAAAGGAACCAAATTACACGAGTAATGAATATCTTTATGATTTTAAGAAATTTCTAATTTTTTCGTGCAAAATTGAACTATCCCATTTTACCCTCCTTTCCCATTTTACCCTACCCTCCCCTATATTTTTCTATGGAATTTTCTAGCGAATTCGCTCGGTTGTTCTATTAATTCAGTAACGAAGTGGTAAAACGGTTCAAGTCGACTCATCTCCTAGTTGAGTTATTGAAGAATATTTTGGAATCTAAAGGAGATAATGAAATTTTCGTAATAACTTTTTTTGTAGCGCGAATTGAGTGTTACAAAAAAGGTCTTGACACAAATTTGGCTATCTCCCTTAGATTCCGAGATATTCTCTAAAAACCGCTGTACCACTTCGCCACTGAATTTTTTCCGTCCGCGATTTTCGTTAAATGAATTAAAAATGAGGGTAAATATCCATTCAGGTGAAAATAACAGTGCCATCTCCGACATCATGGCGTTGCTTTCCAAGAACGTAGATATAGTAAGACTCAATGTCTCCCACAAGGACTTGAAATGGCATGAAACCGTGATAAACAATCTTCGAACCGCAATTGATTGCCTGAGTGCCCGCGCCGGTGTGTCTTGTTATCCTCCGGCTGTTGCATTAGATCTTCCTGGACCGGAAATTCGAGTCGGAGCCCTGGGCACTCAGGACGTGCGATTGTCCGTAGGGGACGAGATCAAGATTTTTACAGAGGGGAATGCCAAGACGATTCGGGATATCGATGGAATACGCTCCTTCGGTATCTGCTATCCTGACTTGCCCAGGATCTCTCAAATTGGGAATAAAATTGTCTTGGACAGAGGATCTGTTTGCCTGGAAATTAATGAAATCGGTGAAACTTTAATTATTCTCATCCGATTTTTTATCTCGTTTTAAACAGTGGTTTGAGTCGACTCAGCTCTTGGCCGAGTTTCCGAGCAATATCTCCGAATCTGACGGAGATAACGGAATTTTCGTAATGACCTTTTTTGTAGAGGAAAGTGAGAGCTACAAAAAAGGTCATGACGAAAATTTTGCCACCTCGCTTAGATTCCGAGATATTCCTCGACAAATTTATTTCTAGAGATCTTTTTCTCTCTTGAGTCTCAAAAAATTTTTATCCGTAAATATTAATTTATTTTTCAATAAATAAATGAATGAATGAATAAATAAATACACGACGATTATAAATAATATACATAAATCCCTAATTAATTCGTTGGAATTAATTGAAATGGCTGACGGATTCGTTATTCTCAGGAAATGAATACGTGAAGTGTAAAACAACAAAAGAAGGAACGATTCACAGAAATATGATTGTCCAGCCGATAGACAGTCCCTCAAACATCCCAGGATTTTGCAAACGCGATGATGAAGCCCTGAAACTTGCCCTGGCCCTTCGCGCTGATTTTTTAATACTTTCACCCGTTCCGAACGGCAAAGCTGTGGCTGAAATCAAGGATCGAATCCGTAAATCAGGTGCTCAATGAAGAATCCAACAAACTCCCTTTACCCATCAATTTATTTATTTTTCACCTAGGAAATCGTCCAATCTGCCTTCTCTCGAAAATCTCCTCTTCCCAGGGTCTCGACAACTTCGATGAGATTTTAAAACTCTCGGACGGCATTCTGATCGATCGGGAATCCCTCCAGATCGTTGTAGGAACGGAGGAGCTGTGTCTCGCGCAGAAATCGATGATTGCCAAATGCAATAGGGTAGATTTCAAATTAATCAATCTCTTTCATTTTCGTTTCCAGAAATATTTCCGAATTTAAGGGAGATAGCGACATTTTCATAATGACCTTTTTTGTAGCGCGAATCGAGTGCTACTAAAAAGGTCATGAGAAAAATTTTGCCATCTCCCTTAGATTCCGAGATATTCATTGAGAACTGGCCAATAGTCCCAAGATCGACTTAAACCGTTTCACCACTTCGCTCCTAAATTCTCAAGGATGTTTAGCCGATCGAGCGATCAATTCACTCACCACAGAAAATATTTCAACCTACTGAAGGGTTATTTCACACGCTCATGCGGTTGAGGACCCTAAATTACCTTCAAGGCCACTATATTCCCTACGATCGGAAATAAATGACCGGAAGTTTTTTTTTCACAATCATGAGTGAATGGCCCACTGAACTTTTTTTTAACAAGCCGCACAAGGCCACGTCCTCCTCATAAAAGCCTCTAGTGCGACGGACAGTTCTCGGTAATTAATTTCTCATTTGAAAGCCCCTGAAAGGGTTGAAATTGTCGTGAACTCGGGGCTGGGAAATGAAAATTGTATTGAGTGTTGTGAGTTATCGATAAACATCCTTATCTTCGGGGCTTCTGAGAAAATAAATAGCTTCATAAATCAACTCAATGTACGATAACATTGATCTCATCTCCTCCTTTATCGTTAATTATTATTTTCACTTCGATTAAGGTGGGCAAAGCCGTGGTAATAACGTATCGCGTGCCGAACGACAGTTCAACAAAATTGAACCTCGACTCAGTGGCGAACGCCGTATCAGAGGGGGTTGACACTATTTTCCTTGCCACTGGAGCACTGAATGTAAAAAATACCATAAAACTCATTGGGGACGTTGATCTCGTCTCGCGCGAGGCTGAATCGGCCAGGTGGCTGAGAAAAATTCCCCGAGATCTCAGTTACAAGGTATTTTCTCATTCACGTACCTTTAATATTCTTTCGCCGAGTTCACTCCGCCTCCTCATCCATCTCGTATTAATAATTACAATTTTTTGCTGATGTTATATCTCGTGTAAAAAAATTCCATGGAATTTTGAGACGGTTGGCTCTGGGAAATAAAGTTGAGTGGAGGTCGCAGCCGTTTGAACCTTCAGGGTGAGAGAGGGTGGGAGTGGGAGTTCAAAGAAACTGCGGCACGATCTGAGAGTTTCCTCAGACAACATCAGAACACGGATGATTAGTGGACCTGGGGGCGAAATATGTCTTCACTGAGGGCCCCTTCCTATTGGTTTTTGTGGGGAAACCTTTTCGTTTTCGCTCAGAATTCATCAAAGGACCTGATGATTTTTTTTTTCATTAAAATAAAATTCTAATTTGGAACTGCGTCTCTTCTTCCTCATCCACTTGCTTCCAGACAACCACTCCACTGGATCCAAGCCACGGAATGGCGATGGCAGCTGCGGAGATGTCCGCGAAGCTCAATGCCTCGGGGATAATTGTGACAACGACGACCGGACGCACTGCGATGCTACTCTCGATCTATCGACCACCGTGTCCAATTGTTGCTGTGACCCGTTACGGAATTGCAGCACGGTGGCTACGACTGTACTTCGCTGTTCATTCCATTCACTACAGATGTGAGTGGTGAATAAAAACGAGAGCTTTTTTTTTCACGTTCACACGTGCAAAAAAAAATCATAGAAACACCCAGCGAATTCACGGGAAAATTCTACGGGTCTGAATATTACGGCATTGCGCATTTTCATCAATGGAAATGTTTAATGGAAAATATTCTCCATAAAAAATCAAGAGAATTCTATGCAAATTATTCTATCGATTATGCACATTTTCATTTGCCGTCCCCTGAAATCCCATCCATTAATGCCACGTTAACGTAACATGAATGATTACAGACGAGTGGATATTTGATTTAACGTCTATTTACCCTTCATTACCGAGTTTATTTTTAATCCTTCACCGTTAATTAGTTTTCGTCAGTCGAGGGTTCGCAGAATCAACGAAAACATTTCAGTAGCGAAGTGGCAAACCGGTTCAAGTCGACTCATCTCCCAGTTGAGTTTTTGAGGAATATTTCCGAATCTAACGGAGATAGCGAAATTTTTGTAATTACATTTGTTGTAGTTCTCACACTACAAAAATTCGGCTCTTAGGAGGGCTCTTAAACTAAGATCTAAGACTATAAGACTGGAAAAAAATCTTAAAATAAGATATATTTCGGATCTTTTGACGGCGTCTTATGAAAATTACGATACTGAAGGGGTCTTAACCAGGAATAAGATCTATTTCGTATCTTAAATTATAAGATCCGAAGGGGTAAAAGGCAAATAATGTTGAATTTTTTTAAAATTATTTTTTTTCAATTTTCGGAGTGAATGGCGGGATGAGGAGGGGGTGAAGGGGTTAGAGCAAAATAATAATTAGAAAAATAAAGTCTTTTGTTTTCCTCCTTTTCGGAGCGGCCCGGTAGAGGGGGAGGGGGGCGAAGGGGTTAAAGTCAAATAATGATGAAATTTTTTTTGTATTTTATTTTTATTTTTTGGAGCGACGGCGAGAGGGGGGAGGGGGGCGAAGGGGTTAGAGCAAAATGATATTATTTTTTTTGTTTTTTCATTTTCGGAGCGACGGGGAGAGGGGGAGGAGGGCGAAGGGGGTAGAGCAAAATAATATTAATTTTTTTTTTTTTCGGAGTGATGGAAAGAGGGGTGTAGCGACTGCTACACTTACACACACGCAGACACGTANATGACTCCCTTTGTTGAGAAAAAAAGTCGTATTTCCCTGTAACTGGCAGTAATTGTGTCTGTAACAGAGAAAGATTTAAGTAGAATAGAAATGGATTTTTGTTCGTTTCGAAAATTGCACCGATCTGGTATTTTTGCTGTTGCTGTGGGGAATGGCTGTGATTTGAGCGCTGGTGGACGGTGTTGGTCCATCCTGCGGTTCGCCGCGATGCTGGTCCGCTGGTAGTTGCTGCTCTGGGAACTGCTCTAAGTCCTCCGGCAAGACATATGCCATTAAAACCCGCGTATGTCTTGTCGGAGGACTTAGAGCAGTTCCCAGAGCAGCAACAACCAGCGGACCAGCATCGCGGCGAACCGCAGGATGGACCAACACCGTCCACCAGCGCTCAAATCAGAGCCATTCCCCACAGCAACAGCAAAAATACCAGATCGGTGCAATTTTTGAAACGAACAAAAATTAATTTTTATTCTACTTCAATTTTTCTCTGTTACAGACACAATTACTGCCAGTTACCGGGAAATACGACTTTCTTTCTCAACAAAGGGAGTCATGCAGCGACTGCTACACTTACACACGCGCAGACACGCCCTGAAGAGCAATCACCGATAGACGAGCCCTATCTCGCTCTAATCCTCCGAATATCTCGCTCTCTCAAATATCACGCGTTTACCTGCTACACAAATTATTAATCCGCACTGACCAGTGAGTCAGTCAGTCACAGTTCGTCAACGCGTTCTGTTGTGTCTTCTTGTCTCTAATAAAAACCATTTGAAAGATCGGTACAAATCGATAATTATACGGATGGATAGAATCAGAATATTTGTTGATTCATCGTTTATGAATAAATAATAGAAAATGTGAGTTTTTAAGGCTTTTTTTTCAGGTGAAAAAGAAATTTATCTCATGGGTGTGCAGGGAGTGAGGTGGTCATTCAATGTCAATCCATAGAAAAGAGAATGATTGATCAGATTTCAGAGGGAATAAATTACTAACACAAAAACATTTTTGTCAAGTTCCTTATCTTTGTCTTATTATCATTTCACTCTAACCTTTTCGCCAGTCTCCCGCTCCCCCAGCGCTCGAAAAGTGACAAAGTAAGAATATTTTTTGATTATTTTTTGACTCTGAAACCTTTGGCCCCGCCTCCCTCTTCCCAATCCGTCCAAAAAAGAGAATCATCTTCCAAACTTATTATTAGGCTTTAAGCCGCCCCCCCCCTTTCCCATGGCGCTCCAAAACTGGCTAAGAAAAATCAACAATAAACAATATTATTATTTATTAATATGAATAATTAAGCGAACCATCAATTTTACTATCTTGGTCTCCCACCCCTTTCAAAAAACGAAGAATTCTTAACAGTAATTAAAATTATTATATGGATCTAACTTCACCCCCTCCCCATCTTCTTCCACACCGCTCGTAAAATGAGAGAAAAAATATAATTCTGATATTAGTTGGCTCTAAACCCTCTGCTCCCCGCCCTTTCAAACACACCGAAATTGACAAAAAAATATTATTATTTGACTCCAACTTCTTCGCCTCTCAAATACATTATTCTGTAACTCTAACTCTTCCTTTCACCCCGCCCCACCGCCCGCCTCTCCAAAAATTGAAAAAAATAATTAGATATTATTTTGCTCTAACCCCTTCCCCTCGCCTCGTCGTGCCGAAAATGAAAAAAAAAAAAATTAATATTATTTTGCTCTGACCCCTTCGCCCCCCTCGCCGACGACACATCGCTCTAAAAAGAAAAAAAAAGAAAAAAAAATTTCATCTTTATTTGACTTTAACTCCTTCGCACCCCACTCGTCTGCCACGCCGCTCCGAAAAGGACGAAAACAAAAAAATCTATTTTGCTAATTATTATTTGGCTCTAACCCCTTCACCCCCTCCGCCTCCCGCCATTCGCTCCGAAAATTGAAAAAAAAAACAAAAAAAACTAGGGGTGCGGCTGGTCGCACCCACAAAAAATGTGGGGAGTGAGCTCAGCTTTAATTTCCAGGAGAGAAAAATGGGAAGGGACCATTAGAACCGGAGATATTTCCAAAAAACTGAAATTTAGTCAGTTTTTTGGCCATATCTCCGTCAATTTCCGTCGAAAATGAATTTGACCAAGACAAAAAATGTGGGGAGTGAGCTCAGCTTTAATTTCCAGAAGAGAAAAATGAGAAGGGACCATTAGAACCGGAGATATTTCCAAAAAACTGAGATTGACATCTCAGTCGCTAAAGTCAGTTTTTGGGTCCTATCTCCGTCAATTTCCGTCAAAAATGGATTTGACCAAGACAAAAAATGTGGGGAGTGAGCTCAGCTTTAATTTCCAGTAGAGAAAAATGAGAAGAGACCATTAGAACCGGAGATATTTCCAAAAAACTGAAATTTAGTCAGTTTTTGGGTCCTATCTCCAGTTGTAATTGTCCCATCTCATTTTTCTCTGCTGGAGATTGAAGCTGAGTTCATTCCCCACAACTTTTGTTAAGGTCAAATTGATGTCTGACGAAAATTGACGGAGATATGGCCAAAAAACCAAAATT